GCGACTACATCGGCCAATTCCCTCAGGACTCTGGGATGCATCTCATCAGGGCCCATGGACTTCTGTGTATTCAGGTTCCTCAGGTGGTCACGAACCTGGTCTTCTCCTACAGCAGGAGGGGTTTTGCCCTCCCAGGCCTCCTCATGCCATCCATCAACTCGAGAGGGGTGAGGAGAGAGGCTGCCAGTGAAGACTGAGGCAAAAAAGTTGTTGAGTACCTCAGCCTTCTCCTCATCTGCTGTTACCAGCCTGCCGGTCTCGCTTATCAGCGGGGGTACACTCTCTTTAACCTTCCTTTTCCGGCTGATATACCTGTAGAATCCCAAGCTGTTGTAGCTGGCACTGCAGAACCTTGGCTTCTTGCAAAGCTAGAGAACCTGTGTTTATTTCAGGCTTTGCAGCTTTTTAATCTTGGGTGAAGTGCCACGCTGCACACATGCAGTGTTGGGAGGGACTGTGCACTCCACTTGCTGACCACATGGACTGCCAGGATACGGGAGATGCCAATTTCCCATGTTCTATGAGAACCCCTATGACCGGATGCATCTCACACCATCTCTGTATGAGGGGTTTGGTGAACCCTTCAATGTGGATTAGCGCCATAAGGTTATGTCTTTCCACCTGTCTATATCCATCCCCGTACTGCTGCTGCCTCCAAGCAATCCTGAGCCCTGGGATGGTAGGCAAATATGTGTTAGCAACAGCACAGCCTCACAAGCACCACCTGGGTCTGTAGGGCAAGAAAGGCACTAATTTAAAGAATGTTCATTCTACCCAGTGCTCACAGGGCAGAATTTTTCTCTCCATACATGACCAAAAAAAAAGCACTGATTTCCTTCCTTCCTCTGCACCTCCTCAAGAAGACAAAAGGCAAGAGTTTCCTCTTTATACAAAAAGACCAAACAACCCCCAATCCTCCCACTTCCTTTTCCCACCTCCTTCCAAAATCATGGAAAGTACCAGTTTATATCTCCTCTCCACTAACCTACCCAAAGCATACAACTCTCCATCTTCTTAACACCTCATAAATTTAACTCCTCTCCTGCCTCTGAGAAGTGGCGGGCTGAGGAATGCTCTTTGCAAAGGTCAGTGGTCAGCCTGTGCCATGAAAGGCTCACACAAGAACAAAACCCAAGTGCTCTCAGGCAGATTGACAGTATCTAGCTGCTTTGCTGCCTGCCCCATATCCCCTCCAGGCAGAGGCAACCCACATTCCCTACCATCCCTCTCTAGGAGGCCAGTCTTGGAGCCAAGATGAGGGAAGGAAATACTTGCCTTCCAAGCCCTTACTCAAAATAGATGTCAAACAGAAAACTAAATAAAAACATGTTGTGAAATATACGCATATCTGTATGCAAAAATATTTCTTGTAAGTAGAAGAGTTCACCATAATTAACCCCTGAAATTTAATAAAACCAAGTGCTTACATGTTAAGGCTTCATCTAGTGTTACTATGCAGACCACTTCAGTGGAGAAGCACTGGATTCGGCCACCATGAATAAGGGATGCTCAGGCTGGAAGTTGCTTGGGCTGGTTCTGTTGATTGATGGGCTGACAGGCTATATGGCTCCTCCTTGGATGAGGTTTCAACAAGGGTGAAAGTCAGAAGGTGCCTGAACAGCTTTTGAAGGACCTGTCATTCCAGTAATAAAGCACTCTGACCTTGCTGGTGGGTGAGATACTGGTGCATCTCCCATCTCCATCAAGACCCACCAACTCCTTAATAGCACTTGTCTGTCCCAGTTTGGCAGCCTGCTTTGGGCAGCAAGCAGATCAAGAACTTTGTTCTACTGCTTGCAGG